ATCTCCTTCTTCCTCCTTTTAATGGCACTTTCTCTCTAGCTTTCAAGGAGAAACCCTAATCTCTCACTAGAAACCCTCTTTTATTCTGCAAACTAAAAACCTACAAAAAAGGCCCCCCTTTCTCTCTCCCAGCAACCTTCTATTTATAGAGCCTGATAGTCACTTTTCCTGATCAGAAGTCATGGCTGTGACATTGGAGCCCTGACCGTGACATCGGACCAAAACTCACAGTTTGGAAAATGTTTGGTCCCACTTCACGGTCACCGGGAGATTTTCACGGTCATTTGACCGTTAAACACTCGGGGTCCAGTGAGGTAAGCGAAGCATTCTTAAACTTGTCAATGTCACGCTCAATTATCAATTGTCGCAGTCTGGTGACAGTGACATTTGACCTCTCCCTGTGACCTTGGATTGTCCTTCACTTCACTTTTTGACACTTTATCGACTCCAATCATCCCAAAACTCGTTTCGACCTTCCCACACATGCGAGGACATGTAACATATAAAAAATAGCACAACCTAGCGTAAAATAGGTCAAGAGACGACGAAATGAAAACTCAAACTATCAAGAAATGATGGGTAAAATGTGTACAATTAGACCTGAATCATACCCCCACACTTGAACGTTTGCTTGTCCCCAAGCAAACCAATCTCAAATAAGGTAACTTTTCAACCTAACAACAATAACTTGGGGACACATCAAAAGGCACAAAACGGGCGAATCTCATTGGCTATTGGGCATCAACACATGAACCATTACAAGCAATACCGACATCCACCACAAATGTCATTCGAATGAATTAAGAACATGCAACCGAAAAGTTCTCACCATGTTCCCAAATCAATGCAAGTCTCGACAAGACTACTCACCAACCGCAGCTGACCATGCATAGAGTTCAAGTCCAAAAAACAAACGAATGGGCGACATTGGTCCTTATTGGGGATTAGATATGAACATGCAAAACGTGAATGAATCACACACTCTCAACCAGTGGGGTCAGGACCATTTGGTGCAAAAGAAGTGAACAACCATCAAAACTCAGCTCTATCATCTCTTCACCACGACGACAACCTCTAAGCACTAAAGTTCACAAGACGGTTGTCATCACTAGCTTGTCCGGAGGTCTTAGACACAGGTTCAAATGACAAGCAATTGTCTTGGACATGGGGAAAAGGCCTTTTGGGTGGTGGCAGACAAAGCATGAGGTCCTACATCTTAAACCTAAAACCAAAGGTTTTATGGCTTCAACTGGGAAACTTTCCTACAATCAATGGCCACTAGCATCAGCCAAAAACCACAGTTCCCTTCTTCCAAACCATTACCAACCACGACCTACATTCAAGCAAACTTCCTCGACCTATCTTGCTATCCCCAATTCAATTATAGTAGTGAAGGAGGTCAGCAAACAATTAGGTGTTTCAATGGCTTGAGTGCCAAGAAACCCTTTCTAGATCATACACATCATTTCCTCATGGCAACTCTCTATCTTTATTTACCCCGTTCATTACCTCTTTTTTTGAGTCCTCTTTTTATTCTCTACTTTCCTTTTATTTTTCTTTACTTACTATTTTTTTCCGAGGGGTGGGGTACTAGAGAGCTAAACACGTCATTTTTTCATTTAACAAACAATGCTCTCTATTAAGATCTTTCCTCCAACACTACCTTTTCATTCCTAGCAAGAACCATGCAAAATCCACCTATATAGAACCTCACTGGAGCTCAAAAGCGAGAACCGCGAGACACAATGATGAATCACAACGATTTAGACACGAAAAATGGAAAAGGGTCGTTCTATCAATCATCATTAAGCACAAAAAGCAACAAGCTCCGACTCGCTCCGACTCGCTCTGACTATCACAATAAAATCCCACCTAAGGTCCAAGTATAAACCTTAGATGAATGCAATATACGGCAAGTATGTTTAAATATTAACCCGGGCCGGCCCATGTACCGCAACTTTGATTGTTTGAAACATTATCTAGCAGATGGTTTTGGTGAAAACAAAGATCTAAAGCTAAATTACTTGCAAAAGGAAATGGTTTTGACACTAATTGAGAAGGCTTCACCAGGGTGTTGCTCCCCCTAGCTAGCAATTACGACTTAATGGATCGAATGGCTGTGTGTGGTGAGGGGGTTGTAAACCATAGGGGAGTCTAACAAGTAGCCAAAGCTACCCTCTTAGTCTCTAGGTCGAGGAAGGGGATACGATCCAAGCCACTAATGCGGCTCTCTCAACCTATTGACTAAGGATTGGTTAGACTTCACCCTCGAACCGGAGTTCGGACGACCACCCACAACCAAACCCTAGGTGCTAATACAAAATAGGAGGTTTGCCCTACATTAACCTAACTAGGAGACAATGAATTGCCTAAGAAAACCCAACATTCAAGCCTCTTTCAAAGAAAGGAAGGGGGGGGGGTTCTCTCTACCTAGGTTAGAATGGCAATTAGATTGATAGGCTTCCACACAACACAATCATTCATGAATAATACCTTCACATTCACATTAAACACAACCACACACAAATCATTCAATTCATATAAGCATTCACATAATTGTAGCTAGGGTTTACAAACACCCAAGTGAAAGAAGGGACTACTCCATGCTAGGAGAAGGGAAAACACAAGAGAGAAGAAGGAAAACCATCAAAAAGATGCTAACCTTGCTCCTTGTGTTGAAGAGATCCTCCTTTGGGGGAGGAATTCCCAATTCCTTGCTTGAAGATGAAACCCTAGCTTCTCCTCTTCTTTGGTTCGTCACTTTCTCACTCTAGAAATCTGAAGAAGAAGAAGTTTCTCACACTAGGTCTCCCCCATTCTTCTTTCTTTCAGCTGACCTTTTATACTGAGATCGCGCCCAGTTCACGGCCCAAGTTCACAGCCGTGAAGGCGTGAACATCAAGATGCGTCCGTGAACACAGTGAGCTTGATCAAAACACACCGCTTCACTTCTGGGGTTCACGGTTTGTGGTTCCTTATTACTTTGATCGAGTCTATTAGTATATTGGAGGTAACTCTAATTTTGGCGTTTGCTCTCAAGTTGTGATGGTCCCCTCTTAGCTGAGTAATTAGCATATAGTTGACTTGAATCAACAACTTTTCATTTTTTTATTAGTGGCATATTGTTCCTAAAGGGAGAGCATTGAATCTTTGTGTAGGATTGCGAGGTTTAAGATTTAGTTTCAAACTATCTATGGTTCGTGATGAAATTTCAGCGAGTTTTTATACTCTATCTTTTTTGACAATCAACTAACCAATAACATTTTACCGGGGACTTAATTATCATTATGAAAATAAGATCAATAATACATTTTTATATTTCTCCAAATGTTCGATCTATATATTCTTTCTTTATGTATCATCTCGATAGAAGGATTATCAATAAAATTAAACGGGTTAGATTTAAACGTAACATAAAAACATAAATCCTACCAATCCTATATGAAGGTTCCCTCCAGGATCACATTAATTCTAGTATTCCTGCCTCCTGCGCAAAGGAAGGAGGGATATGAAAGTAAAAACACAGCAGTCAAGTGGGACAGAGTGGGCTGGCCGGTACAGAGGAGCGTGTCACAAGCGGTTGTTGATTTCTTCTTCCCCATTTTGGTTCTTCCTACACAACACATGTACGCTTCCTTCCTTCTCTCTTGGCTTTGATACTTTTTTTTTTACAAGGTGACGTTTGTACTTATAAAATAAAGAAATACAGCTTGATTGACTTGTGAAAGCCGAGTAGCGTCGTATTTTTGACTAAGTCCACAACATGTGATCTGTCAAAATCAGTAGTGCAAGTTATCAGAACATAAATACATATAATTTTTTTGTTTTGGTTTTTTAATATTATGCAACCATTATTAATAGGGAATTGGGTTTTATATAGTTCATTCATGATTTGTAACTGCCAAAAGGTTGATTGTTTACTTTTCTACAACATACTTTATATGATGTTTTTTTGTTGAATTCATAGCTTAATAACCAATGCAACTATAAATAACATTATACTTAATAAGTACCAATGCATGGTGCTTTTAATAAAGCGGGGCAAATTTCTCGTACTTGCTCAGTGTGCACCCCTTTCCTTCCCCTATTATATAACCTGATATACCACGCTCTTCTTGCTTTCTGAAATTCCCATCTGAGATTATATGAGATTGACAATTTAGATTAGAATATGGAGATCTGCATTTTAGATGAGACTATGTTTGCCTTCTATTCACTTGGTTTGACTGGGCCGAGGACACAAAATGAGGTAGTTGCTTGATTGGCGTGAGCTTCCCTCTTTATTTTCATTTTGAAACATTTCGCTTTTATGATGGTTTGCGTATTTATATTTTGGTGGGAAGACCATTTGGATCTTTTGGATATTGTTACGAGACTATTTTCCTATTATGGATTGAATGATATTGGGATTTTTCCTTTACCAACAAAAAAATAACATGTACTTCAACAATATTTTTATTTTTTTATTTCACTATTATCATTATATAGATTCTTGATCCACCTTCTAATTGTAAACAAAACAACAGAGGCACACTTTATTGTTATGGATAGAGTGAGAGCATGATTCTTTGGAATGTCGGTCAAAAAGAAATTCTAAGACAATGATAGAATTAATGGACCACCGCCTAATCATCACCTACAAATTGAGGGAGTGACGTTGAATTTCGTCATTAAGCTTACATACTACAACATCGCTAATCCAACAAGTTTATAATATTGTGTCATTAAGTTTATAATAAGTTGAGATACCTTTGCATAAGTCATATCTTTTTAATTTCAACAAGAATGTGCATAGAAGGCACTGATGACAACATTAAGTTTATGTTGGATGCTAATTTTCTATTTTCCAAACAATTTAAATTTCAAATTTTATTAATCACTCTTATCATATTGTAACAGGCTAACAGACCGGGGTACTATCTAGTAATCAAATATAAATATTCCGGGCAACGCGCCAAGCTACTATTATCGAAAAGCTATCGTGCGAGATTTTAATACATACCTCAGCAACGGACTGAGCCCGATACTCGCAGTTTTTCTTCTTCTTTTGACTGAACCGGTACACCGTACACTCGGTTAGCTCCAGTGATGGCAGCGGAGAAACAGGGAGCCACCCAGCCGGCGGCAAAGGACCCGGCGGAGATCAATGACGCGCCGCCAGATGTCGAGTCCCAAATTAGGACTGCCATGCGGTCTCGCGTCGACTACTTCAAAGATCAAGCAGAGTATTCTTCCTTCTCTCTTTCTCTCCAAGAACTCTAGGACTTTGAGTTCCGAAGCAAGTTCAGCGCTTCGAAAATTCCTTTCAGTATCTTACCAAGTAGTGTAATTTCTGTACTGTTGGTGTCTCCTCAAGCCATTCCGGCTAATAACTATTCTTGAAAGCGATATAAGTAGGTTTAGATGCTTTCAGTTGTTGACAGCAATAGTTTGAACTGCTCCCGCCTCAGCACCCTCTAGTTTCGTCACTTTTCTTAAGTTGCTTTCTCGAGTTGTTAATGCCTCCATATTGGAACGTTTCCCAATTGTAGTTCTTTGACATTTGAGGGAGTAAGGAGGGTTTTGGAAAAGGACTTGGGTCTGGAGAAATTCGCGTTGGATGTGCATAAGAGATTTGTGAAGCAATGGCTGCTGGAGGTAGGCTGCTCTCCTCCCTTTAGGTTAAGAAACTTCTCCTGTTGCCTGTGAACTTTGCGTGACGGCTTTGAAGCTTTTGTATTTCCCCCCCACTTTGTCTTATGTTTTGGTTATCCTACTTGCAAACATCTTTTCGTTTACATTTATATTAAGTTGAGTATATGTCGATCAACAAATCAAATGATTTTGGGAGCATCAAGTGTGGAATTCTTCGATGTACTGGCTCTTACTTGGCTATCTTCGCATCAGCAGGCATTCTGGACTATGAACCTGCCCTAGATCATTGTAGCTAAAGTCGATTGCTATGCCGTTGCACATTATATCAACATTTCTGCTCAGACTGTTCATTTCGAATGCCTGCTGAACCACTTGATTACAATGTCTATTTGGAAAATTGAAAATTATTCATCCTGAACTACTATAATACATAATCAGCTTCATTTTGAGAGAAAGGAATTTTTTCTTAAAAACTTTTGTGCTGAGCAACTACAAATAAAAATATGTAATTGATTGAATGAGTAATTTTATCTATTTGAGCACAAGCCAGATGTTTCAAATGACTAAGATGCAGCCATGATTTCTGATCTTCGTTGCAGCATACCTCTCAGTGATGCGGTTGTATCTTTTTGTGATGGTACCTCCACATGAAGATGCTTTATGGTTGGATATGTCTGATTCATGTCTTATGTTCTACAACTTGGTGCTACAAAATACAATTGGAAGTCTGCTACCATCTTGTCATTGCTGGGAAATCTTTTATCTATATTGTTATTAACTTTGCACTAGCCATTTTTTTTTCTTAACAATGCTTGATTGGCATAGCTCGATTTATTTATATGATTCTTATATTAAAGTGTGATGTGGCCATGTGGGTTAACAACAAACCAGACCCTCAGTACAGTTACTTCTATTTAATAGTATTCCAGTTCAGTGCATGCAGGGCGCTGTTGATGGTAGTGGCCATCAGGATTCAACAGAAAAGGTTGCAAAAGCCGCATGTTCAATTGAAGAAGCAGTAGAAATACCTGGAGAGGATGTGTCAAAACTTGACACAAAGGATCATGATAGCGAGGAGGAGAAAATGGAAGATTCCCCTGTAATGGGACTTCTGACAGGTCATAAGAAATCTAAAACGGAAACTAATAAGAACAAAGATATTGAGAAGAAAGTGCCAAGTGAGAGCATCATAAAAAAGACAATTTTGAAGAGGGCTTCATATATTGGAGCTAACTCTGAGTAAGTATTTAGTTCTTACACTGGTTTATCATCTGTAGCATGTACTACTGCAGCTATGGTTTTCGTGGATTCCATCAATTTTTGTTCCAATATGTACTCTTTTTAGTGAATATGTGTTTTTCTAATTGAACTATCACATCGATTCATCTTATTTCAGAAGCATTACAATGGCTGGACTGCGTCGACTTCTAGAGGAAGATCTTAAACTTGATAGTTGTGCACTTGATCCCTTCAAGAAGTTTATAAGCACTCAGTTAGATGAGGTAAATTTAGATTCCTTTTATGAATTTTTTCAATTTCATCTCGATATTCCTGATGGCTCCATGATCTGCCAGGTATTGCAGTCTCCTGAAATCTACACTTCGAAGAAGAAAACTGTGGCGAATAAATCCCAGGATAGATTTGCTAAAGGAGTTAGCATTGATGTGAGATCAGATTCGTCAGGCAAGGTTGAAGATGAGCAGGATGTAGATGAAGCAAACCCTAAACGTAAGGTTGGTTTAAAAGAGAGGTCAGTGAGCACTGAGGGTCCAAAAAAACGGAAAAGTTCCGAGAAGGAATCCAAGGTATCTGGTAATAAGCAAAGCAAGCGTCCAAAAACTTCATCACATGACAATAGCGAATCAGCAGATGAAGTAAACGCCTCTGACAATGGTGATTCGCAGTCGTCACAGGAAAAGCCAGTGAAGGTCTAAACCACTCAGAACATCTGTGTCATGTTAATCAAAATGCAGCAATAATGTGTGAGCTCTATGTTGATTTTCATGCAGAAAAGGGAACCTTCTACTCCTGCCCCGATATATGGAAAGCGTGTGGAGCATCTCAAATCTGTTATCAAATCTTGTGGGATGAGGTTAAGTTACCTTCACTTTACCCATAACTGGTGGAACTTATTCTGTGTATCCACCATAATTAACTTAATGCATTCATTTTTCAGTGTTCCACCAGCTATATATAAGAAGGTGAAGCAGGTGCCTGAAAATAAACGTGAGGCAGAGCTAATAAAAGAACTTGAGGCTATACTTTCTAGAGAAGACTTGTCATCTAATCCTTCCGAAAAAGGTGAATGTTAATTGTGGTCTGTATGAATAGTCATGCTTTATGTCGTATGGTTCTGTGAACCCTCTACCCAAAATTTCATGTACTGAGGTTTAGGATTTCATATTTTGACAATATTGATCATCGGTTACTTGAAAGATTTTGTTTTTTTAACGGTTTGTCAGAACCAAGAATTAAATGCACTCTGAAATGAAAAAGAGGATTGCAGAATATAATACTGCTAGCTTGCATGCTTGTGGTATTGATTGATCTTGTTTACCATCAAGGATAAGCTCTGAGTTGCTTTTCTTCTCTTGTTTGTTTTGCTGTGCCCTAGAAATAAAAGAAGTTAGGAGGAGAAAGGAGAGAGCCAAAGAACTTGAGGGCATTGACATGAGCAACATTGTGTCCAGTTCACGGAGGAGGTCAACCAGCAGTTATGTCCCTCCTCCCAAGCCACCTAAAGTACCTATTGAAAGTGATAGCGACAGTGATGAAGCAGAGGATGAGGATGATGATGACAATAATGAGCATGAAGATGTGGACAACGATGTGGATGAAGAAAGCGAGAGTGAGGAGCTCGAGGACAAGGGTAAGTAACCAAAGAACCCTTTGGTCTAAGATAAATGTCATAGGACTAGTAGTCAAGCAAAAGGGACTTCATCATGCTGCAGTTTGCGCTTTGAATTAGAATTGTCACGGGTTAAGTCTCTAAATCCTTGGCTAAAACCGTGTGAATTACTTATGTTCTGATGCCATTCAACTACATGTTCAGATCACCACTTGATGGCGTGATGTGTTTCTGATGCAGAGTAATAGGGGGCACAGAGAATGAAATCACCAAAGGGCTGATTGTTTGCTCGTTGATTGACTGTTAGAAGCCTCTGCCGGGTCAACTGAAACTAGAGATACGTATTCTATTTAGTTAGTTGCTTCTATATCCTGTTCCTATTTTTTTGCCACCTCTCTTCGTGGATTCTCTCTTATCATTGCTTAGAAGCAGGTTTAGTAGGAAGGATAGTCACATCTAATGGTCGGTACAAGCATAGAACTGCGTCGCAGCTGGTCCGAATAGGGATGTCAATATGTTTTGCTGGTGTTGATTGGATGAATCGTTCAGTTATGAGGTGACCCCTGTTCCGACTTTGTGGTCTAAAGTAGTTTAGTGGCCTGGCTCTATGGATTGAGTCATGGGATCCGTCAAAGTGCAGTTTTTGTTTTTTGATAATCCGTCAAAGTGCAGTTTTTGTTTTTTGATAATCCGTCAAAGTGCAGTTTAGGTATACGACTGTGGGTGCTTTCCTGGTGTAATATTTGAAATTGTGAAATATTATTGTAATCTTATATGATAACTCTCTTTATGCGGGAAGAAAGAAAGTTGGAGTTCCATGACTGTCACAAGAAGCTGAACTTTTCGCATGCTCTGTTTTTATACTTAGAGAATTAGGTTTTCGCATGCTCTGTTTTTATACTTAGAGAATTAGGTGGGGATTGGGTGGAGATCGCCTATGGACATTTATTATATGGCCCGTTATGGTGTTTTGTTAGTATTGTTAGCCTAAAATTAATTTTTGTTAGTAACATTGACTTGACAATATGATATTGACTGAGAAAAGATATATGACTGTCAACATAAAATTTAGGGTGTGTTTGGATACAATGATTTGGATTTGGTATTTGTGATTTGGATTTCCAAATACTAAATCATGTGTTTGGATATTAATTACATTTGGTATTTGGATTTGTGTCAAATTCATGGGGTGATTTCCAAATACATGTCTAGTGTATTTTTTGTCAACTTCAAATACATTTTAACAACTAGTGATTTGAAATACCTCCTAACAAAAGAATGGACCTATTTGTAAAATATGAAAAGTTTAGGTACTATAGTGCGAGGAAAAATATATAAAGGTACCAAAATGTAATTTTACCATCAAAATTTTAGGACCTTTTTGTAAAATTTTAAAATTTTAGGTACTAAATTGTAAAAAAAATGAATTTGGGTACCAAACTGTAATTTACCAAAATTTGTAGTAAGTGACCAGAAATTTAAAAATTGAAATTCAAAATTATAAAATACAAAATACAAACAAATTACAAATGAGTATCCAAACAATGAATTTGAATTACATGTATTTCAAATGCTAATATTTCAAATACATCCATTTCAAATGCTAGTATTCCAAATACCTTACATTTAAAATACACTTATCCAAACGCACCCTTATAAAATTTTGGAAATTTTGGCTAATAAATGATATTTACCTAAATCCAAGTAGACCAATTGGTTATGAGTAGGTATATGTGACGTATATATGAGTTTGGAAGTTTGTAGATGGGTTTGGGTAGTGTATGGATATTTACTTCCATAATCTAAATGTGTATGAATTGGGTATGGATACTCATTTATTCGAGAGTGTTTAATTACACATACAAAAAATAGACCTATTTGTAGAACTTAGAAAGTTAAGGTACCAAAATGTAATACACAAGAATTTTAGGTACTAAAATGTAATTTTCCATCAATATTTTGAGGACTTGTATGCCAAAAAAATAAATTTAGATTATAAATCTAAAGATCTATTAGGTACCAAGCTATAATTTGCATAGTTGAGGCTTAATTTCTTTTATGGTGATATATTTAAGATGATAATTATTTACTTTTTTATAGAAAAATGGAAAATATTTATTTGATATGTGTAGATACCTAGCCAAACATTTCATGTATAATTGTTGAAAATTCTAGCTTGAGAGAAAAAGAAAAACTCTGAAGAGAAGCAAAAGGAATACAAACTGGAACTTGCTTAAAATTTTACGCCTTCATATCCCATTGTGAAAATGGTCGACTTTCTAATAAGTAATAACCATATATATTTATTTTTAATTGGATTCAACATTGAGCTAAAAAAATTAGTGGTTCATGGTTCAATTATTAATTCTCTAGACTGTTGGTGAGTCGTGTATGGACCCGTTCATACTTGTGATTAAAATACATAAAATAGTATACTAATTAGGGTTAGACGAAGAAGGCAAGAAAGAAATAAAGAAAGGGTTATGGAAGGCGAGTGAAAAATGAAACGAAGAGGAAGTAGATGATGGAAAGGTTTCGACCAATTCTTTTAGTTGGCCGTCAATATAACAATCAACCCTTTTCACTGTGTCAATTTATTGACACTTACTTATGTAGATCTGACATATTTTGTTACATGTAGTTAGTAGAAGTTTGTTTAGTACCTCGTAAATGTACTAAATGAGTTTATTAATTCGCTCTTGCAATATTTTAGAGTCGTCTCTCTTTTATCATTTATTTAATATTTCACGTAATGAGCAAATATAAAATGACCGAATCTTCTCATATAGTTGAGTGATACATCTTGTATGGTACAAACAAAATTTATACTTTTATGTTATGGTGGATTGAATTCATGGATTGGTGAATTGGATTCAAGTGAAATCTAAATATTGAACCCATATGTAAATTTTAAAAAATTGTAGGTACGAAAGTCTTATAAAATTTAGATGTCATAAAATTAATTGTTCAATGATTTTACTTTAAGATTAAATTTGGGATATCATGAATTGAATTCAATGGTTGTTTCAAAAGGTTTGGTGGATTGGAACCAGCGGTTTCACACAACCAAATCAGATTCGGACACCACCAACAAAGAACAATAGGGGTACACTTCTTTGTTCATTTTTACCTTTTCTTGTTTTGTGCAGTAGGATTTTGCTTTTTTCTTTTATTATTTGTAAAGTTGATAAATCTAATTTTTGTTGCACCTCGTTAGTTTACATATTTTTCATTCTTATGAGAACCAAATCGGATCAATGGGTGGATCAATAGAGCCGTCAAATCAGTTACGATAACGGTCCGGTTCATTGTTTGAACAGTTATTGATGGATCAAACTGTTTCTCACGGTTCAACATAAAACCAGATGAACCACCACGGTTTAACAGGTCCACTGGTTCGCACATTTTCACGATGACTTTTTAAAAAAAATACTTTAACATAAACTAGAATCATCAAACCAGATTTTTTTGTTGCTTACTCATCTCATTTTTCAACCTCATTGTCGACTTCAAGTGGTCCACTAACTGGCACCGTAATTTTTAACTTGAATTAAAAAAAATTATGATCTCCTTTGTGAGATGGTGTGAATGATTTGTTAGATATTTTGGTGATGATATGAATTTGAAATTGTTTATGATCAATAATTTCATTCTTAAATTAGTGTACTATACAAGCCTTGTGTGTTATATAATATATATAATGAACGATTCTATCAATGGTTCACCAACGATTTTGTAACGGTTAACCACTGAACTCTAAACCACTCTATTTTCCGGTTCAATATCCGTTCCGATTATGAAACATAGATATTTTTAATTTATTTTAGAAAAAGAGGACAGCCGAAAGTAGGACAGTTGCTCCCCCGTCAATTTCTTCAAGGACTAACTCCGATTAGCACAGGGATAAAGACAACATGAGTGACTTCCATGATAACCCCGTCATTTTCTTCAAATGCCGATAACTAATCTGCGGTGTTTAATAGAGTATTGGAACAAGATATGAATATTTTTGTAAAGGGTTGAGATGTAAATACGTCCCTCTTTGTTGATGTACATGGTTGAGATGTAAATTCCTCCCCTTTTTTTGTCCAACCATCTTACTTGGCTGGAATTGATAATTGTTTGATGATGTGTCGGGGATCCATTTGCTAAATTAAGCTTGTGTTGATGATTAGCATGTGTTTCATAATGTATGTGATTTAGTCACAAACATGAATATTTGGATCATGGATGAGAACTCAGATTTACCTTTGTTAGGTTGGTTGGACTTGGTTTTGGATCTTTGACAATATGAAATATTTTTAATGTATATTTTGATGACATGGAGAGGTGACATGACAATTTTGGATTGAAAGTTGATAGAGATGGACCGAATGTTCAATTTATTAGTTAGTGAAAACATAAGTGATCGATTTGTTCAAACTAAAACATAGGGGGTTAATTGCATGGTTGGTCACCGAGATTACAAAAAACGTTCACGTTTGGTCACTGGAAATATTTAATTTCATTCGTGGTCACTAACTTTCTATTCTCATTTCATAAATGGTCACTCTCCGTCTACTTCTGTTAACTTTAGCTTACGTGGCAGTCAACTAACATAGTTGACCGTTAAATATGTGACGTGGAAATTAAAAAAATTAATAAAAAAATAAAATTTAATACTTTAAAATTTCCACCTCATTGTTGTAATTGTTAAAACATAATAAATACATAACATTTAAAAAAAATTGAAAAACAAAAAAAATTCCTAGGTCTTCACGATTCCAACCTTTTCCCCTCTTGAAAATTCCCAATTCTAATTCCAACCTCCGGTCCTCCAAATCGTCACCGCCGTCGCGTTGCTACTTTGCCTCCAGATCTCGACTCTCCCAATCTTCGTGAGTTCGAATCAGAGTCATCATCAGCGCCATAACCCCTTTGCCCGACCATTACCACTAGGGCCTGATTGAAGGAGAACGGGAGGTAGAGGATGGATGGGTTGCCGCAGACGACGGAGAAACAGAAGATGGCAGAGAGGGCGAAGTTGAAGAATTAGCGGCGGGTTACTATTTTCCCAATCCCGTCGCCATCCTTAGTTTTCCCCTCAGAAAATGTGACCCCTTTGAATCTAACCCTTCAAACGCGCGAGGGCGATCTCCGGACTGGGTCGAGGCTTATCCTCCTCCAACTCTGCCTACATCGAGATCTGTTCATCGAGGGGCACCGGGCTTGTTGTTCTTGGCGGGATTACCTTCGGAAGAAGACGACTGATTAGTTTGCTCGGCGAGAGGAAAACCAGGGAGAAGAGGATGGCGGAGGAGGTTTGACTCACTCCTACTGTCACTCTAGAAAATGGCCAAGTGTAACCACTTCCTAAAGCGTAGTATAGCGGGTTTGGGTTTTACTGTCAACCCGGGTCCTAGATGTGATGACTACTCAGTGAATTCGTATTATCTAGCAATGCAACTTTAGTGAAGATCTAAACTAACAAGCAAACAAAACAACTAAACGGTTGTATTCAGGTCAAGAGAGGTCACCCGGATATGGTTCCCCCTAGTCTGCAGTTAAGCCGGATTGTAATTACCAAGTTCAATTTCTATGATAGTTATACTGCGGAAGGTTCTCAAACAGTCTGAAGTCTCGACTAAAGGTCTTCAGACCCTCTCAATCTGAGTCTCTAGCGGGCGACTAACCTCCACCGGAGTAAACAGATTGAGGCCCTATGAACAAAACCTCCACTACCGAATTGAATTCGGTACAGAATAGTGAATTGGCTCCTCGACTAAAGTCACCAATTCACTACCTTCGATTAAGGATACTCTATCAACCTAGGCAGATATTATCATTCTAGGTTAAAGCAGAAACAACAGGAATTTGATCAGGATTCGTGCCATTCAATCATTCAAACCTCAATCGAATATAATCAATATCATAGAATCAATACTTGGGTTCATACAATCAAACTTAACATACAGAACTAGGGTTTCCCATACCTAGATGAATGGGAGAACTACTCCA